CCTCTGCTGGGGCCTAGTGGCAGCCAGTGCCACTGCTATATTTGTGCTCCACCATGAGGCTACTGTGCTTTGGCCCATGGGGTGTGTGTGTTCTTCAGCAGTTTCTTCCATACATTGGGATCCTAGTCCTGCCACCAAGCATGGAAAATCCGGCAGCCTTCAGCCATAGGTGGCTACTGCCCCATGGGGGGGGCAGTGCTGGCGATCACCAGCTATACTGGTCACTGGGTGGCCTGGAGCCTCTGCCACATGCACAGCCTTGTGCGTGCAGTGCCTAATCCCCCATCAGACGATCTGACAGCCTTCAGCCTGGAGCAGCCACCACCACATGGGAAGGCACAGCTTGCTGATAATCTCTGGCTTGAACCTACAGCATCGCCCCACCATGGATCGCCTGCCGGCCTTGGTCAGAGGTGGCCACTGCTGTACAGGCATCTCTAGCTTGGCCTGGGTCCTGCCATGCATGTGGCCTTGCATCTGGGCCACCACCGCCCCACTTCCGCAGGGGGGGATTACTTCAACTTGTCTTCCCAGTCCCCTTCCATGGTGGCTAAAGGCGGGGGGGAGCTCACAACACCCAGCCACTTAGGGTTTTTACCCTGGGGCCCAGGGGCTCACAGCACTGGCAGTGGGCTGGGAGTTTGCCCCTCCCAGACAATGCAGGGATATCTGCCCACCGCTCTCCAGCCCACTCATGTGGTTATTCCTCTGCACACACACCCCCCCCAGCCAATGGGGCCTTTCAGTGAGGAAACTTGTAGCTTACCAACTGCTGTCCTTTATAAAGTTTGTACCTCCAGTACTTGGCATTAAATTTTATGGCACACTGGCCCCACCCGACTAAGTGACATTTATGTCAGAACTGGCTCTTGTAACAAATGACTTTGACGCCTCTGCTTTACAACCTCCAAACACAGAGACACAATATCTATTTGATCCACAGTGCAATTCTAAGCACAGTTACATCCTTTTAAGCCTATTGACTTAAATACAGTTGGAAGGGTGTACTCTGCTTAGGATTTTACTGTCAGCCTGTTCCTCACACTCCTGACCCTCAATACATGCAATTTATATTGTTGCTAAACTTTAAAAAGTGGAAACCTTAGATGTGCATTGCCACCTTACACCAAGGCAACACAAAGCAATAACATGGTCAAAACAATAACAATATAGTGCAATAACATGGTCAAAAAATCTAGAAAGTGAGCATAGGTGACCCATCATGTCCAGTGGTCTTTGCCTTTAACATTACAGGCAAAGTTACACAGCTCCCTTCCAGGCTTGAAACAACCCATTTCCTAACAATATCAATACTACCCACAACATGGATGAAATATGAACTATACAGGACTACTTTTAATCAAATCTGATACCTACATTTTTAGCACAGTAGAGAAACAGTGCTGGGTAAATTAGGCTGCTGATAGTTAAGGGATTAGTAATTATTTCCAGTACATATATTTGAAATGTTTTAGAATAGTTTTGAATTCACTTTTTTCCTATGTCATACTTTAAAAGAGCAATAAGGTACTGCCATTTTTTAAACTAAAGGGACAGTTTGAATAACTTCACCTAGTGTAGTTTGTTGAAGGAAAGAATGAAAATTCATGACTGGCAGGGGGAGACTGATCTTGCAATTCATCTCTAAATAATGGAAAATACTATTAGCAGCTAACACTTTCAAGCGTATAACATGACTGACAGCAGATTACAGAGTAACTGGATGATTTTATCCACCCTGGTCCAGAAATCAGCTCAGGACGCCCATAAAAATTATGTACATTGTCAGCAACATTATCTTAAGAAGTTACTAGTATGGCATTTATCTTTAAACCATCCAAATGCTGAAGTTTTACATTGTTTCTAAGTTTGTGGCCAATTAGGACAGCTACATTTAATACCATGGCATTATGTCCAGTTTATTGGCACATTCTCACATAGAAGCAAATTCCTCTTTCACGTTACTGAAATTTATGGGCCGCGGTGGCTCAAGTGGTTAAGATGCTGAACTGCAGACTGGAAGGTCAGCAGTTCAGCAGTTCGAGACCCGAGTGCCGCAAGACAGAGTGAGCTCCCGTCTCTGGTCCCAGCTCCTGCCAACCTAGCAGTTCGAAAGCAAGAAATTGCAAGTAGATAAATAGGTACCGCTTCGGTGGGAAGGTAACAGCGTTCCGTGTGCCTTGGCATCTAGTCATGCCGGCCACATGACCACGGAAACGTCTCTGGACAGCACTGGCTCTTCGGCTTGGAAACGGAGATGAGCACCGCATCCCTAGAGTCAGATTCGACTGGCTTTCAAGCAAGGAAAACCTTTACCTTTACTAATAATAAATAGCTACCTATTGATAAATTTTGTCCTTTAAAAGTTGTATATGTATGGTTTCCACTTCACTTCAGGGGACGACACTGAGTTGCTGCTGCACTGAAAGTGTTCAAGATATGAATAAACTCAAGAATATGACATAAAAGAATGTTTTATTTGCTATAATGCACATAAATTCATTCCTATTTATGTTGCACATTTAAACTTTCCAGCAAGATGTCATATCAATTCAGCTTCCATGGGAGGCAAGCTACACAGAGCAGCAACAGACCTCCATATTTGAATGTGTTTACTATTTGAATGCGTTCACTGCCATATTCCTATAAGTCAGGAGTGAGTATTCAAAAGGTGGGCATGCTTTAGGATAAGAGTACACATTCTTGGCTAACTAATTACTTTGTAAATTCAAACACTGTATACTTGAAATGTCTTCTTAAATATATAAAACCTGTTAGTTCATTGTTGCTAGTTTCTATCTTAACAAAATCTATTCAAAAACAGTTATTACAGGGTTCTCAAATATATGAACATCTTGTGGCCCTGAACCAACACACCCATCTTTGAACAATATCTCCACTTCTGTGAAGCTGAATATTCCTGCTATTGCCAGATGCTCTCTGCACATGAGTGTAGTGGTTAAGAGTGTTGCACTAGTATCTGGGAGACTCAGGTTTGAATCACCACTCCTGCCATGAAAGCTTGCTGGGTGACCTTGGGCCAGTCACTCTTTCAGCCTAACCTACCCTCACAGGGTTATTGTGAGAGTAAAATGGAGGAGAGAATGGTGTAAGCCACTTTGTGTCCCACCTGGAGAGAAACGCAGGACATACATGAATTAAATAAACAAAATCTACCTTCAAAACACTGGGAAGAGGGGAGTAGAAAGAACAGTAGCTGGGTTGGGAAGCTTGGGAAAAGAATTTTAGCCATCATCCTTATTATCCTAAAAGCCTCTTTGCTGCTATCTGGAAGGAGAAAGACTGGATAGATATCAGAACTACCAATCAACAGCTTTCCCTAAATGAGAAATTCCTGCCCCTAACTGTCAATATCTGTGGAGGGAATAGGAAGAACAGTGGTAGCTATAGCAGCTGGATTGACAGGCAGCTTGAAGAGGACTAGAACTGAACATATTACTTCTGCAACTAAGGTGAACACACCTTCCTGTCAATGATGTATTAGCAAAGTTTATCAATATCCACTGGAGATCTGGGGGGGGGGCCTTACAGGGGAGGGTTCATTACCCAACCTTGTGCTTTTCAAGTCATTCAAGCAACCATTTATAAGAATTCAACTTTGAGACATCCTAAGTATCAATTAGAGTCTCAGAGATCTACATCAAAGATGAAACTGACCTCAAGGTACAACTTCACTAATATAAACTAAGATCAGCTAGAATACCACTGAAGATTTTTCAGCTTTCAAAATGCTATTTTCCCAGACTGTGCTAATCCAGATGCATAAGTATACAAAGTGAATGATCATAAACAGGTCTACTCAGAACCTTACTTGGGCGTATTCAGTGGGGCTTACTTTCAGGAAAGTGTTTATAAGATTGCACAGTAACAGGCTTAGACTGAAGGAACTCCACATAGGATTGCATCATTGGATTGCATCATTTACAAATATTTCCTATATACTTGGCAGACAAAGAGGATACCTATTCATGTATTTCACAGCAAATTGCTTATTATTAGCAATAGGGATTAACTAACAAAGGACTCCTTAATGTAAATTAATTTCCCTTTAACTAGTAAATTATTAGTTCAGACTTCTGTTGATTAAAAATAAGTATTCTACAAAACTACAACAGCTACAGTCCTATATATGCATGTTATACAGAATACAAGAAGTTACACACACACAATTGCAACTAGTTTTGACAGGACTTTTTGACTGCAGTCTTGTACATTTTGTCTACATGTCTCTTACTTTTTAGATATCTGTCAAACTATTTTATGTTCCTATCTTCCACTTTAAGAAGGCCTGCAACTTTTCACCAGAGAATCAAATCAGCACAAATCAATTTTCACAGTGAATTCCAAGCTCCTGAAAGGAATCAGAACAGCACCAGATGAACACATACTCTGCATACATATGAATTCAGACAACTTTTATTAGACCATTGTTTAGTTCCATGATCTATTTATATTAACGCTTTGAGGTGAAATCATTGCTTCTAAGTAGTAGTAACAAAATATTACAAAACTCAAGTTGCATGCTCATTTCTTCATCCATTCAAAAGTGACATCTAAAATCATGAGAAATTTTTTTAGCCAAAAATGTTGAAGGAAATCATAAAAGCTGCACACAAAACAAACTTAAGGTTAACAACTTTCACAACATATAGAGCTCTACAATCTGTGAGATGTTATTTTAACCAAAAAGCTGAAATCCAAAATATCCTTCATTCCCACTGTAACACCCACCAAATCTACTTTGGAAAGTCAAAGACCTTCTAGGTGGCATTTGATGTTGAAAGGAAAATATAATAACCTCTTTGGACATAAAGGGCTCTTTAGATTCCAGACAACATGTACATGTATCATAACTACTTTTTCAATGGCTGCTAAAGGAAGACATAACTATAATTAGGATGTTTCTTTATTACACATATACAACTGAACAAAGGAGCCAAGCTACACTACTCAATGTATACTGCCAATAAAGCACTTACCTGCAACACTAGTAATGGTAACTGGAACTCCTTGCACTTGGACACCTGCAGCACCCAAATTGGCAACGCTTACTGTCTGAAGATTAGGCACTGAAGCAAGCTGGGCAGCATTTAGTGTTATTGGTGTACCAGCAACAGCAACTGGTCCTATTTGAGCTATAGTACCACCACTTGAAGATACAGGAGTAATGGTTAATTGCTGGGGTAACCCAGCATTTTGAACTTGAAGATTTGAAAGACTTTGAAGATTCTGGACCTGTACTGTCTGCCAACTGATCTGCCCTGATGGGGTTAAAGTTGGTGCTCTTATGAGCACTTGAGTTGGACTCATTGCTTGTAGTTGAACATTTTGCAAAGGCTGTTGTTGAATGGTCTGAATAGTTTGTCCTGACTGAAGCTGAAAAGACTGTGGAGAAATAGCTTGAATGATCTGCTGTTGTGGCTGTTGGATCTGTATCTGCTGTAAAATAGGCTGACCTACTATTTGCACCTGTTGCAGAGAGTTTGACTGATCCTGCACATTTTGCAATCCATTTGATTGAAGCTGACTAGAGTTCTGAGCCTCTGTTTCTGAAGCAGTTGTTGGAGGATCTTCAGTAGCAGACTCACAACTGTTTGCTGTGCTTGCATACTGGCCTGTTTCTGCAGTGCTTACTAAAGTTTCGCTGCTTGTTAGAGATGTAGAGGCAGTAGTCGTGCAAGTAGAAGAAGGAGAATCTGGCATACTACTAACAGAAGCTGTTGTGACAGGTGTGGATAGTAGCTGATTTCCATTGGAAACACCACTATCAGTGGGTTGGGTAACCTGTCCAGAACCACTGCTAGCTGCAACATTTATTACAGGTAATGCTAGAGTTACTCCCCCAATGTTTATGGGCAATGATGTTACAACTTGTGCCTGAGTACCAGCAATAGGCAGTTGCAGTGGAATGGAAACACCAGGCCTAATCTGGACTGGTACTGTTTGATTTGCCAAGTTTTGAGCTATAATATTCCCAGAAGCTGTCCTATTTGTAGTTGTAATGATAGCTTGATTATTCCCTGCAGGGATGAGCTGAATTTGGCCCTGTAAATCTTGCAGAGCTGTAGCATTAGCGGGACTGATTTGAATTTGTTGACCTTCTGTTGTCTGAATCTGTGGGATCACTTGATACTGAACACTACCACCTGGATTCTGGACTTGTATGACTTGAAACTGTCCTGGAGTTGCTCCAGAGGAGCTGCCTGGTTTTGTTTTTGAAGGAGATGCATTTCCATTGTTGCTGCTAGAGGGACTTGCTGCACTAGAAGTGACAGAAGATGCTTGTTGGACACTGTTTTCTTTTGAAGCAGGAGGAGCAGCAGCAACAAGCTGCCAAGCATTTCCAGCAAGCTGAGTTGTCACTAATTCTAATTGCTGTGGCTGATTCTGAAGCTGCACCAAACCTTGACTTGGATCTATTATAATCTGCTGTCCAGTTGCTTGATTCTCACCCGGCGTCCCTATTTTGCTGCAAGTTGCTGCCAACAGAGCCAGGGGGGAAGGTTGAGAATCCTAACAAAAGCAAAAGACAGCACAGTATATTAGAGGAGATAAAGACTCCCAAACTATAGACAACAGCATGGCTATCAAGGCTTACTAGGAAACAAGACACCTAAATTCATAGCAGACCAGATGACAGGATAACTCCTAAGCCAGCTTGAATCATGAAAAACAATGAGGCATAAATGTTTTAATTAATAAACCAATAAAATAACCATTTATAATCTGCATTTATTTCAAAGCTGGCCTCTCCAGAAAATTTCTGACAAATTCAAGAATTCTGACAAAATGATCCACACACAAACACAGATCAGTCCAGGCAATAAAGACTTGTGCTTATCCATTAGCCACATAGGATATCATAAACTGAAGATCAGTTATGCTGGAATATCCTTACATATTGTACCTGAGAGGCTCCAGTTTTGCTTTTTTTATTGTTGTTGCTGTTTTCTGCCTCAGGTGAATTCTCCCCCTCTGAGGGCATAGCTTCCTCCTTCTTTTGATCTGCAATATATATATATATATACACATGTACATTTCAAACACGATTATTTTTATTTACACAAGGAGAAATCACAATATTCTCAGATTCCCTGCCCTCCATTCCACCTCTGTTTAAAAGGCACATAACAGAACAGACCATTGCAATGGCAAAGGAATCCTAAAAAAAAAACAAAAAAAACCCCACACAACGTGGTTTGAAACCCGGCCCACAGGGCTTGGTGAGTGCGTGAAAATCCAGAAAAGGGAGGTTTGATTGGTTTCTCTTCTCGGAGACTACAAGGCAGGAGGGGAGGAAAAACCACCCACAACCCTCCTCCTCCTCCTGCCCCTAAAGCATCTGCGGCTACTGAGTGGCCCAGGATGCTTTAGGGGCAGGAGGAGGGAGGCGCAAGGGAGGGGAAAATGGGAGGAAACAGCAATGAAGGAGGACTGGATGTGCACAGGAGGGCTAGGAAAGAAAGGGGGAATGGAAGAGGGAGGAAAGGAGGAGGGACAGGGGGAGGGATGAACGGGGACGAAAAAGGGACCCAGAAGGAATGGAGGAGGCAGGCTGGGGTTGGCGGGAAAGCAGCAAAGGGAGAAGCGCGCCAGGGTGGCCGCGAAGGGGGGGCGGGAACAGGGAAGGAGGCAGGGCCGGGGGGGGTTACATACCGCTCATCCCGCGTTAACGCCCGCTGAGGCGCGGCTCGAGGAGGAGGGGAGGGACGGAGGGCGGGGTGCTGGGGTAGCGGCGGGGAGAAGGCCGGTCGCTGCCGGAGCTGGGAGGAGCAGGTCGGCCTATTTTTCCACGAATGGCCGCCGCTGGGCTGTGGCGTAGCAGCCCGTCTCTCCGCCCGCTGCCGCCGCTTGCCTCAGCCCCAGCGCTTGATTGACAGCTTGGAGCCGGACGAGGGAGGGGGGAAGAGAGGGAGGGAAATGGGGGTGGAGGAGGAGGAGGAGGGGCGGGGCCCGCCGAGGCCCAGGCCGACACCCACTGAGGAGGGACCCGAAGCTGCCCGGCGGCTGGAGACTCTTGGAACTCCGGGGGAGGGTGGAGCGAGGGAGGCGCCAGCCCCACCACACGAGTCGGCCCTTGGCTTGGTTTAAAGAAATAAGCCACTTACATAGGCAGTGCCGACAATATCAGCGGGCTACGTAGGTTTAAAAGAGGGCAGACATGAAAGAGCGAGCCCAAAGGGGAAGCAAATTTAACCGCCGCTGTGGTTTCGGGGTTTTTTGAGGGGGCGGGGCGTGGGTTGCTTGCGCTCCCCGACAGGGCTAAGGCGAAGGAAAACGGAGGCGACTAAGAGGCGGACCGACGCAGTGGAAAAAAAAATGCTCCGTTTTCCTGCCCGCCCACTAAAGCTTGTTGAGCTTCTGATTGACAAGCCGGGGAGAACGAAGCAACGAATGGAATGGGACGGGCGGCGGAGACACCGCCCAGCTCGTGCGTCTGTAACTGACAGCGCGGGAAGAGAAGAGTACGCTGTTCCAGGCGCCTCGCCTCTTTAAAGGCTCTCGTTTTCTAATTGGCCGGCCCGACTTCTTCCCCCTTTCGGCAACTCTACGCAGTCTCTTTAGTGCCTTTATGAGTAGTGCATGGGGGTAATTGGGAAACCGCATTTATCTACGAATTTGGGGTGTAGAGTTCAAACTTTTGGTATTGATTGGCTGTAGTGAACTGAACTACATGCCGGGATTTGTAGTACTGAGTGAGCTCGCGCGTGCGCGAAGCAAGCTGGATGCCGCTTGCTGCAGCTGACCTGAGAGCTCATCCATGCTTGGAGGAACAGCTGTTGAGGATGCTGTTTCTTACTGTGATCTGGCCACTGGTGGTTCAGCTGTAGCTTTAGACGTAGCCTGATTAAAAGGGGGGAGGGGGTGAGTTGAAGGTAGCTATTAATCTGGTAACTGGATCAAGTTGTCATCAGTAAGATTTCCTTGGCATGAAGGGGAAGAATAGTCGAGGATTTTGTTATGTACTGTTTCCATTCATACTATTGAATGTGTATGGTAGATAGCTAGATCCCAACTAGGGCTGCGGGGGGGGGGAGGGTAAACCCCCCTTTGGAGGCCTGATTCCCACCGCCCCTGGGGGGAACTCTGCCCCGAAGCGCAGTGTGGTGCACCAGAGGTGATGCAACCACATCAATCAAGTTGGGGGCATGGCCCTGATCGTCGGAGGGAAAACTATGGTTTTCTCTCCGACAATCGGGGCCACGCCTTCAACGTGATCGACGTCGCGCATCACTTCTGGTGACATGCTGGCGGGGTGTGCGCGCACATCGACAGATGGCTCCTGGAGCCCGGCGAGGCTCCTCCGCCGGTAAGAAATATTGACTTGGCAATCCTAATCCCAACTGTGAGAGTACAGTTCAAAACTTGATACCATTATAATTAAATTATTTAAAATAGCAAAATATGGGTAAAGCAGAAAATAATTCCACTAGTTCAGTATATTGAACACCTCTACGGGGAGGAAACATTTCAACAGATCCGAGATTGGAAACATTTCGGAACAAGAATACCTCTGAGGATGCCAGTCACAGCTGCTGGCAAGCCATCCCAGGGCTCTTTTTGTAGCAGGAACTCCTTTGCATATTAGGCAACACACCCCTAATGTAGCTTACAGGGGCTACTGTAAGCTCTTGGAGGATTGGCTACATTAGGGCTGTGTTGTCTAATATGTAAAGGAGTTCCTGCTACAAAAAGAGCCCTGGTACAATGCCAAGACCATGGCCATACAGCCCGGAAAATCTACAACTAATAATTCCGCTAGGCTCAGAACCTAGGTCTCAAAAAACATTTTTATATCTGGAGGCCTGCAACAGGTTTAGACAGCAAACTTTGACATTAAGAATTTCAGGAGGTGTATGTGGGCTTTGGTCCTCTAACCATGTGGCCTAGCTGACAAACACACTTGGCCTAGGCCCAAGCTATGACTTATTCAAGAGAGCCATGATGGAACTTCCCAATTTTTAAAAAGTAAATTGCAGTTGGAGGGGCCATGAATGTGCTGGTAGCATTAGAAAGACGAGCAGTGAAGTTTAACCATTTCCTCCCTTGCTCTTTTCCTGAGCAAAATCATGTTGTTCTCCCCTCCTCCCCAATCAGGGTCAGTCCTGTTTTGGACTTTTACTCAATAGATAGTAACAACAGTCCTATATACACATTGAGTAATGTGTATATTACATTCAACATATGTATGGCAGAATGTGCAGTTTAAGCACATGAATACAGGTACTAGTTCTGTTCCCCCCCCCAAACAAAGTGAATGCACATTGGCTCTGTCTTCCAACAGATATATGTACATTCACTGTAAGGTGTGCAAGTGTGAGCAATGTATTTAGGAGCAAATAATACTTAGCATTTATACTGCACTTTCTTTTGTTATAAAAGGTTTTTAGTATTATATAACAAATAGTATATAAATGTTATAAGAAGCATCAAACAATTATAAACATAGCTTTTGTAATATCCATTATATTTAGACTTTGAGTCTTCAAGCAGAATGTCTGAAGTAGAGGTTCCACAATTCATATTTTTTAGTGTACATAACTTTAAAAATTTACATCAAATATGGCTATATCTTTGGTCTATGTAGTTGTTCTCATAATTACATGCTATGCCCTTCACATTATCCCTTTTTGTATTTACTGGTGAAATGTTATTTAATTTTGCATCATTCTGTTTCTAAATCAGTGATGTAGTTGTTTGACTGAAGGTACTGAAACCAATATACCACCTAATTTGGGAGCAATCTATGGTCTGATCATGCAAGGACCATTCTGCACTATATCCTTAAAGTGTTTGAAGCATTAGAAACAACACTTCAGTTTGATGTAGTGGTTAAGTGTGCGGACTCTAATCTGGGAGAACCGTTTTGATTCCCCACTCCTCCACTTGCACCTGCTGATGTGACCTTGGGTCAGTCACAAGCTCTGGCACAGCTGTACCTGAAAGAGCAGTTTGTGTCAGAGTTCTCTCAGCCCCACCCACCTCACAGGGTGTCTGTTGGGGAGGGGAAGGGAAAGGAGTTTGTAAGCCGCTCTGAGACTCCCAAGTGAAGGGGGGGTATAAATCCAATCTCTTCTCCTCTTCTTCTTCTTCTATATGAAGAAAGTAAAATGTGAAATTGCTGGACAAAGATAATTTCCAAGTTTTTAAAAATTAAATGTTATTGAACAATATAACAATATTACAAACTGACAATAGAATGGAGTGCAATCAACAAAGAGCAGCAAAAGATAAATACAAACAAAGCTCCAAATATCACACACATCTTAACACATATAAATTAGCATTAGGACCTTCAATATAGCATGAAAAGGAATAATTGCAATTCATTCAATATGAACAGAGAAGAGAGATTTGATTCTTGTCTAATACATAACAACTATTTGAGATGCCTGACCAATGCTTGTGTAACAAGGGCTGCGGTCACACACACTAAATAATCCACTTTCAGTGCACTTTCGGATTGGATTTTGCCAGTTCACACAGTAAAAATCCATTTGGAAAGTGCATTGAAAGTGGATTATTCAGTGTGTGTGACCGCAGCCATGGGGTACCATTTCCCTAGAAGACTGGGCTGATTTGACACTGCGAGCACAAAGAATTCAGTTTGAGTCAGATATGTTCATAATAAAATATATTTTGAACTATTCTATATTAACACAACTCTTTTCTAAAATATACCATGTTTTACCTTTAATCCATTGCAAAACAGGCTTTAACTAGGATTAAGAATAAGAAGAATACCACAAACCAGACAAGATCATGGAGAATGATGAAACAAAGATTCTTTGGGACTTCAAATTACAAGCAAACACCCAAGGCATAACACTCTTGGTTTCTTAGACAAATTATGGGTATCCCTAAATATGTGCCCTATTTTACCATCTGCTTAGAAACTGGTCAAAATCTGATTGAAATGAAGGTTTGGATTCATGTGATCTGTTACTGGCTCAAAATTCTTTTTAGAGCCAACTCAGGATCCTTACTGAGCCATCTAAAAAGTGATCTGAATAATACAATCTGGAACGCTACAATTATAAATAAATTTAATCAAATAGGGATTGACCTCAATGATCTTGCTTTGTCTGATGAACTTAATATTTTTGGGATCATCAGACAAAGACACGGCATACCACACAACCTTACGTCTGCTCTCCTGCAATGTTGGGTCTTTATAGTCAGCCTGGTAGGATGGCCCACTATTTGTATAATCTTGAATGTCCTTATCAACGTAGAGCCTTCTCCCTGGCTAGATTGAATGTGTTCCCTTCTATGATGCTTCTCAGTCCTTACCGACACTCTCCACTTCAGGATCGAATTTGCCCCTGCGGTCTAAATTCTTTGGATTCAATTAACCACATAATTTTGGATATTTTTTTTTACGAGTTGATTCAGGGGGGAAATTCAATGTATTACAGTCAAAAAGGCATTTGACTAATGAACGTAAATGTCGTTATCTCCTGAGTGACTCCACTCCAGATGTTACTGAAATTTTGGCTAATTATTTAGCTGAAATACTATAATCAAAGACCGATTGATTTTCAGTTCTGTACTTGCACCCTGGATGTAAAGTGGTTCTGTAGTTCTGTTATGCCAATAAATGTATGTAATTGCATAACACTCCTGATACCACAATGATAGAAAAAATGAGAAATAGGGTTTGGATCATTGACATTGCAATTCCAGGAGACAGAATAGCAAAAGAAAACAGAAGATTACAAAATACCAAAACCTACAAATACAGCTAGAGCACCTCTGGTAGAGGAAGGTTTCCATCGTGCCAGTCGTCACTGGAGCCCTTGGAGCAGTGCCTAGGAGTCTCAACACCTGGAC